GATAAAACTGGAAATCTAATTCCCAGGTGTCATTGATCGACTGTCCAAGAGGATTCAGCATGTTTGGAATGATGGAAAGAGAGGTATTTCTTCTTGCTGCATGACTACTCGCCTGCTCACATGACTGCAATTGTGATGCGGTTCCTAGCAAAATAAAATATATCAATTCTTAACCACTCTCCTGTTCACCTGATTTGGCAGCAGGTGACATTTTTTTCATTGTCAAAAATCAAACTTCATGTGAAAGGTCAATGCCATGACGAGGTAACTGACTTCAAGCCACAGTAACATGCAAGATGAAAAACATTCCAAACAAAGATTTTTCTAACATTTTTATACAGTTGTATGAATATTCTTTGCATTGTATTCAAGCAATGAGAGACTATGATTAACTATAAACTTCATCTTAAGTTTCTTCTAGTCTTCATTAATCAAATATCAGAACTTTTAGACAATAGTGTAGGTCATAATTCTTTTCATCCACTTCAAATCTGTGAATAATGAACAGAGATAAGCTTGTTGGTTAGAGTTGAATTCAACATATTGCTATTACTTAATATTTAAATATTTTTCTCTCTGTGAAATTTAAGGAAAAACCCACTGAATTAAAAATTGTTTACTCATTACACAATTATTCCTACTTTCCACTCCAGGTTTAAAAATGGCAAACTGTGCAGAAATAATTTTATAATATCTAAAAGCAGATTTTTTTTTTTTTTTCAATTTAAACTTTTTTTTTTTCTTTTTTTTTAAACAGAGGGATTTTATAATTGTTCACTTATAAATAAAAATGTAGTAGTTGCATATAGTATGTTAGAAGCATCTTTTTGGGTCATCATTTTTGAAATACAGTCAAAAGTCGTTAATCCGGACTCGTCGGGACTTCGGCGATTCCGGATTATCGATTTTTCCGGATTATAGATCATCAGTTTAAATCTCGTAAGATGGCACGCAGAAATTCTAAAATTAAAAATATGAAACCGTAATTTATGAAATAAAGAACAATTATGATCTAAAGGGTATCAAAATAAAAAAAAAAAAAAAAAAAAAGCGCTTAATATTTTTTTGTTTACTTTATTAAACATTTCTCTCAATGTAAGTTGCTTCATTTTATGTGATAATACTTTCTCTTTAATTCTATAAAAAGACATAATTTCTTGTTCAGTTACAAAGTTCCGCTGTTCAAGTCCCATTAATTGCTGTGCCAAGAATACCGACTAACTTGTCAATCGAAATTTTTTCGTTTTCACTAACCTCTCTGTCACATTCTTCATGTCTTTATCCATTTTTTGCAGCAATTCCACTTTTTGTTTGTTGGACATCGAAATATACTTTCGTTTTGTAGATCCTTTGGAAGTTCCAGCATCGGAAATTCTATTTGACATAATCGAAAGTTCAAGTTTACTTTTATAAAATTGCTCTTACAGTCTGCAAAAAATAATAAGCGAGATCCAATTCGAAGATTAAGGAACAATGCAATCATTAACATTAACTGAAATAGATAATTTTAGCTTACACCGTCCGTTATACATTAAACGTGCAGGCGAAAACGTATTCTGCACTTGCGCACACGCATATGCGCAGTAGTCAAGGTCTTACGCGCACGCGTAAAATGCCTGTGCGCAAGTGCCAATGCGGTGCATGCGCAGAAAGTTTTGTAACTTTGAGGTCCGGATTCATGCCCGATTGTAAGACAAAAATTCTACAGATGATCAATGACAAGTCACTGGCTTTGAGAGTCACAAGTGTCCTTTGTCCGTATGGTTCCATTGTGTGTCGTATGGTGTGTATGGTTTCACTAAATTAACCTTCTTTCCTTTTTTTTTTTTTTTTTTTTTTTCAAATTTCTTGCACCGTAAGACATCAATGATCACCTACAGATCACAAATGACTAATGGCTTTGATGATCACAAATACCTTCTGACTAGGGTCAATAGTGTTCTATGGTTCCATTGAATTAATCCCCCCCCCTAAATTTCCTGCATTGAGGCACATTACTGATTTTATGGGTTGAATGTTGTTACTGGTAACCAGTGTATAAGTCATCAGTGAAAACATGCTTTGATAGGATTGGAATTCTTTAAATTACTGATTTATTTAAATTTATTTCATTACCCATGCTGTTATGTATAACCAGACAAGCCAACTCACAAAACACAAAAACCAGAATTCTTTCACTGATAAAAATAATTTTAGGCAGTAAAATAACACAAAAAGGAAATTCTTTCTTTCAATCACAAACTATAAATATACCTATTTAATATTTGAATGTGAAGTTTTATATACAATTAGTACAGAAATACTCTTATATTAAAAATATGTTTATTACTTGAAAAATTTTGTACACAAATACAAATTGAATCCATTTCTATAAAATTGTTAACAATAACATCAGATTTTACTGTCATTCAGAAAGTCTCGTAATTTTAATCATAGTAATTGCAAATATGCTTGTTTTTGCTAAGAAAAGTTTAAAACATTGTTTACAAAAATCAGAAATCTCCTGCCTAAATTGAAACATTTGGCAATCTACATATACTAAACTTGGCATATATCAACTTGTAGATAACTGGTGACTAACCAAAAAAAAAAAAAAAAAAAAAAAAAAAAAAAAAAAAAAAAAAAAAAAAAACTAAATTTATTGCACTATCTCATATTGATGATTCAATGATAATTGTTACAGCACGGTGACCACTAATGCTTAGGTCACCTGTACAGTGACCTAAAGGTTATATAAGTGATCAGTGATCAACAGCTTTTTCGGGTACCATTGTGCCCCCATAGAATTTTAATTAAACCTTTTTTTTCTAAATACACTACCACCCTACGTTGGTGACCTATTTGTTGAGCCTAAGTGTTTTTAACCTGTATATCACCAGCGAGCTTGGCAGGTATTGATGTGCTTTGATTTTATCTAAATTTATTGCACTGCTCTTCAGTTGGAATCTAAAAATTGACCTCAGAAAATCTTCAACCTGTAGTCCATTGGTGACCTTGATGGGCAGCAGGGCACTTTAATTCAATGTTAAGTCAAATGTTTAAATTTACTACACTGCCATACAATGTGTTATGTGTGTTTACTCTAACTGATGCTCAAACTACAGGACATTAGTGACTGACAGTCTTGAAAGGTAATACTATATTCTAAATTAATTTTAATTAAAAAACATATCTAAATTTATTGCACTGTCTCACACCAGTGGCCCACCAGTAGTTTATACTCAACCTGCAGGTCACTGTCGGCTGTGATGGGAATCAAAATGCTTTGATTTAATTTTACTTTAAATATCTATTTAAATTTACTGCACTGCCCAACAGTGGTGAGATGTAAGTTGCCCAAAATCAGCAATCTGCAATCTCAAATAGGCCGCATGCAGCCCCTGAAGCAATTTTATACAGCTCATGAGTTCTTTTTAGTTATGCATATGTTGCGAATATGATGCCTAAAGTTTGCAGATAGAAAAGGCTATTGAAACGATAACTAAAACAGTAAATTTTATGTAGAACAAGCTATGAATCATCAAGTTTGTAGCTTTGTTTGAAGAAACTGAAAGTGAATACAGAGAAATTATTTAATATATTGAGGTGAGGTAGTTATGTTGGAGAGCTGTATCAAAACAGTTTTTTGATTTGATACATTAAAATTTTCATGACACAGAAATATATAAAATCATCCCGAGCTATATAATAAACAGATCTAGCAATTATTGTTCAGTTAATTGAGTATTTAAATATTTTTAATAAACAGCTTCAAGGAAAGAATACATTTTATTACTGGCATGTATGTTTGCAATGAAAGTTAAACAGAATTATGGAAAGCACAGCTTAAATCAAAATATTTCATACATTTCCTACATCCTAAAGTTGGTCCTATTATTTCAAATGAAAAATCTTAAAGGTATGTAAGAAAAGTAGCATTATTAAAACAAGAATTTAGGGAAAGGTGAAGGCAACAGAATTAACAAATGGAGCTAATTAATTTGCCAGTGTGATACAATCTTAGTCAAGGATTTGAAGATACAGATTTGATTATATTTCATTCGTACTTGTCAAAAATACATACCATCAGTTATGAGTTGTTGATAAAAGAACAATATCTAAGATTTGTATATATAATACACACCTGAGCACATACACTCAGGAACACTGAAAATATTGCACCAAGAAGGAAGAAAGGTACAATCGCAAAACTTTGCAAATAAGTACAGTGAGATCCGATGTGCAAACGATCACACACCCTACAGTGGCACTGCAATCAGAAAATGGGCTCTATATAAACCAGCACACAGATTCATAAACAAAAAGATTCACAAACATGATGATCCTATTCCAACTTAGAAGGATTTTAGTGAGCCAAGAATGTAAAGTAGACATGTGAGAAGACATTTCTCACAGTTAAGCGAGCTTGAGAAAATAATTTACTCGCAGACTAGCAGTCTGCAAGTAAATGATTTAATTTGTTTTAATAATCTAATTACATGATATAATTTTAAATACATATAATTAACAGTACATCCAGTATATGGATGATTTTTATTGACATCAATAGCATTATTTTAGTTAATAAAAGATATTTCTAATACTATACAGTCTGTAATTGGTTTTGGTTTAAATTTTTCCTAGCCCTTGCACTGACTTTTTAGAGTGATACAAGAAGATACAAATTTATTTCACATCCACACTTTTGCTTTCTCGTTTTCCTTCAGAAGATTGTACTGATTTCTACCTATATGTTACTTTTCCACTAGTTAAATGTTTGCTTTTGTGTGATTTCTTAAATATGCTACTAATAAAAAACAGAAGCCCTTATTCAAAACAGTTAAAGATTTTTATATTAAAATGTATGTCTCATTAAAATTGTTTTGCACAATTTATAGAAATTTCCAGTCAATATATTTGTGTATAATTCTCACTTCATCAAAATTACAAGACAATGCATAGATTAAAAAAAAAAAAAAAAAAAAAAAAAGATATTTTACAAACAAATAAAATAAAGTTACCTCCAAGAAACCATTAAAGTACAGTCAGCTAAAATTGCTATCACAGAAAGATCTTTTAAAGGTGGATTTGGCTCTGCCTAAATAATGAAAATCATTCCAGTAACTGTACAAAATAAGTAAAAGAATCAATTATAACTATTTATGGAAACATAGAAAAATGATACAACTTTGTTGTTTAAATTTTTCAAAACACATGTATATGTAACCAAATGTGCATAATTTAACATATATTGAGCAATTTACCACATCTACTTGCACCAAAAGAACTCTTAAACTGTATGTTTTCCCCAGTGCTTTCAGGCGCTCATGTATGTAGTTGGGAAACAGATTATGATATCTCAGACTGCAAAAGAATTAAACGAATTAACTATATGCAAGAAATAATTTTCAACTAAACAATATCTAAAAAAAAAAAAAAAAAAAAAAAAAAAAAAAAAAAACACTAAATTTGAAAATGTTATTTATTGTTTATTAATTAAACTACTGATAATAAATATTTAACCCAGAATGTATGTTTCTTTCAATTCACAACAATTTAAAAATTAAAGAACTAAAGTTTCAGGTATGCTTATGAGAAATTAAGAAAATTATCAGAGATTAGAAAATTACCATTTTAGCATTCATTTACATGATTATTACATTTATATCTTATGAAACTTTTATGCCATTTAAAAAAATTATTTACTTTAGAAATTCTATTAATGCTTACATGTTATAGAATGAAAGTAAATACCTTTAATACTTGAAAATCTGAAAACACTTCCACAATAAATGCTTAGTAATTTTAATTTAATAAAATGTTTTCCTATTTCTTCCTGAGTACAACTTGGTGATATCTTATAAGTGTGAAAGTAATTTTTGTAACCTTCTTAAAATTTTTAGATTTCTTATAATAAAGGAAATGAAACAAACAGTAATCTCCCTTTTGAATGTAAAAGTAATTACCAGCATGAAACATTTCTACAATATCATTAACAATTAAACTCAAATCTTTCTACATTATTCACATAATACCAACAAAACTGCCTACACTAACACTAAGAAATAGTTGAAAACTTATTATCAGACCTATTTATTGCTGTAAATAAAAAGAATTATAAACAGACAAAATTTAGCCAAGTTATTAGAAGGTTAAGAATTTTGTATTTAGATAGCTAACTTTAGTAAAATTATTGTATTTCCCCGTGCAATACAGTCCGAGACAAATTTGAAGAGAAAGCTATGCCGGAAAAGTAAAAATACAGGAGCACACGCATTTAACATTGAGTAAATGGATATCTTGATAATTTGTATTTAAATTGAATAAATGTAACTGACCACTATGTTAGCTGTAACCATAATTCCAAACTGTGTTTTACATTCCAGAAATCTCGAGAAGCAGAAAGTACTAGAAAAGCTCTCATACAGCCGGTTTAAAACTATTTAAGGAGAGAACTGAAGAGAGCACATATGCTCTCAGTTGCTTAGTTACTGTTGTTGTGAGTTGTTATTTCCATGTGAATTGAGAAATCTGAGTTAGCTTTTTCTTTGGATGCTCTTTGCATTGGTTGTATTTAATGTTTTTAGTAGTCTGAAGTATAACTACTGATTATATTGCATGATATTGTGAACACTTGTACAAATACCTCTGAGGAAAATTAAACAGTTCTGACACATTTCTTTTGATAGAATAAATTTTATTAACATATTATCGGACTTGTGCATTCAATCTATTATGAATCTGTAATTTATATGGGGCGACATACAATATACTATTAAAAATAGATTTAATTGATAATTTTTTCTGTAAAATGTTTGTCACATACCTTTAGTCTTCATAGCAAATAGTAATAAAGCTAAGATGCCATTAAACTTGAACTCATTTTGTTAATTCGATAAAAGTTTTCCTAAACATTCTTACGTCAAACCATGCTTCAGTCACTGCATATAAAATTACATTTTTCTACTGGAAATCTTTCATATTTTCTTCATTTCCACTTTGAATACAAGAAATATATTCAAAAAGTCCAAATAGAATGAATGACCTCTTATTCACCAAAATTTTTTTCCTTTGTGACATTCAGATATTTTCCCCACCATGTTAGCTTTTAAAATTTTTAAAGCATTAATCAATGAAATTCAAAGCATGAAAAATTGAAAAAATTTTTTAAATTAAAAGTTTTTCATCCTCTTCAAATGTTAAGCTCATAAGTCTTTCAAGCATTCAATTAACATTGCAAGGACGATTTGTAAAATGGGTATTCCAAGCACAGATAATCACTATATTATAATTATTTTTAACTTTGTTTTTCAATTTGTTAATATTTAATGTTAATGACCTTTCACTATAAAAACCATTGGTTTGTAAAATAAATGCATACTAGTATTAAATTATACTACGAATAAAAATGCCACTCAGAAAATTTTCAGTCTAATTTTCTATTGTCATGGTTCAACAAAATAACACATAATTCCCATTAGATTTATGAGGTTTACCTATCACAACCATTCCATATATGTATATAGAATTTTCTCAAATTTATGAGAAAAATAAGAATGATTTTCAAGCTTTCATATTAACTGGGCAATTAAATTACACTTAAATATTATAAAAAATAAGAAAAGATGCATATAATATAAAATAAATACCTCAAAAACAACGCACAGGCAGTTTTCCCCATAACATAATCTGGTTCAATTTCTGAGAATTCCCAAGGGACATTTGTAATGCTTTTTAAGAGTGGATTACCTCTCTGTAAAATCAAATATAAAGAAAAAGTATTTTACATTTTTCTAAAAATAACTGCCACATATTTCCACATATAAGCAGAGAATTTTTGGAACTTTTTCTAAAGCTAAATTATGGGGGGGGGAGGGGTCACCTTATCTGTGGATGGATCAATCTTGCAAGAAAATTAAGTATCTCTCACAGCTGGAGACAAATGATAAATTGCTAAATATCACAATTTTTTTATTTAGCTTATGAAAAAAATTTTTAATGAGCTGTTTTATTTTCAAAATTATTTATAGTTGTTTATATAATATTGTATATATAATATTTGCTTTTTATTTAAAATGAAAAATCTGATGACAAAATTTGCTGCCGCTTTTCTTTACTCTCGAATTTGCTTTTTATTTATGGAGAAATGCCCAGCAGCCATACTATTATTAAAATGTTCAGCAAACTTTATAATCTGTAATTTAAAATTTGCTGTAAAGGAATTTAGCTTCCTTTCATTTTTCAGAATAAAGCACAGATACCACAGATTGTGAACAAGACAATGAATGCAAAAAATATGTTAGGTTTATACAGGGTTCCCAGAGTTAAAATTAACATCATTGGTGTCTGGCATTTTACTTCACAGTGACTTGATAGGAAAATATTCCGCCTTTTTTTACCTGCTTGGCAACATTTTTGTGCTCATGGCGATATGTTTGAATGTTACAGGAATTCTTTTTCACTTCTGCTTATATACAAATTTTGAGTTTTGGGTAAATAAATAAATAAAAAAAGCACTCTCAGTTTATATTCAGAAATATATAGTAATACAGTATTTTTATATTACATATATTCATAAGTATTATTTATAGCTAATAAAAAAAATCTGACCATTCCTCAGAGATTCTTTTTTCTTCAGATAAAACTCATTTTTACAAGCTAAGCATCCCATGCTTAAACATATTCTGATGAAGTCACAATAATTTACAAATACTGATACTGGAATTAATTCATCTCCATAAATAGGTAGCTCTAATATATTAAAATATTTCCCTATTTGATATTGTTAGAAATATTAACAGCTTTAATTTTTTGTTACAGTTATGTACACTAAAGGCATGTACAATCCAGACAGCTCGGCAAATACTACTATTCTACGAAGCATAAAATCTTTTTAAAATTAAATGTGTAACACAACAAATTGCAAATCCTAAAAGGCAATTCTTTGATATTCCATAAAATGATTAATTTATATTTAAAAATTAAAAGAGTACATAGCTCAAGCAAATGGACAACTTAAGCAATAAGTCACATATTTCTTTATAATTTATATTTTCATACAAATTTTTTAATAACATTTCTAATTTTTGATTTATCTGAATCACTATAATATATAACTGATAGTTTTTAATGAACCTGTGCACTACTACCAGTATTGGCTCCCACATTTTGGTTGAAATGTATTAACCCCCTGAATGACTGCCATCTCTGGTTGTGAGATTTGTCTCTTGGTATATATTATCTTTGTGAGATATGTCTCTTGGTATAATAGTTTATAATTAAGAATATTTTGCTTTCTTACTTTCTTTACTGAGGTAAATATCATCTTAATGAATAGAAATTTATAAAAACAGATACTAAAATAAGTAATTACAGTCAAAAGTCGTTAATCCGGACTCATAGGGACTTCGGCGATTCCGGATTTTTGATTTTACCGGATTATAGATCATCAGTTTAAATCTGGTAGGATGGCATGCAGAAATTATAAAATTAAAAATATGAAATAAAGAACAATTATGATCTAAAGGGTATCAAAATTTGCAAAAATAAAAAGCTTAATATTTATTTGTTTACTTTATTAAACATTTCTTTCAATGTAAGTTGTTTAAGTTGCTTCGTTTCACGTGATAATACTTTCTCTTTAATTCTACTAAACAGACATCATTTCTTGTTTAGTTACAAAGTTCTGCTGTTCAAGTCCTATAATTGCTGTGTCAAGAATACCGACTAATTTGTCAATTTAAATTTTTTCGTTTTCAATAACCTCTGTGTCACTTTCTTCACTATCGGAAGCGAATTATAATGACGAGGAACTTGATTTAAATCATATCAAAGACGGAGTACATCGAGATGAAATACTACATTTAGTAAGGTATTATAAGCCAAATAAAATAAAAACATCTGCCCTGAAGATAAGGATAGTGCTGACAGATCAACTTCCAATTCATTGTGCGCCGCGTCGTTTCTCTCCCCCCACAGAGCAGCGTGAAATTGATAAACATATTTCGGAATGATTAGATAATCAAAGGATATGCCTTTATCCATTTTTTTGCAGCTATTCCATTTTCTGTTTAATGGACTTCGAAACATACTTTCGCTTTGTAGATCCTTTACATATTAGTAAATATATATCGGAAATTCTGTTTGACATAATCGAAAGTTCAAGCTTACTTTTATAAAATTGCTCTAACAGTCTGCAAAAAATAATAAGCTGGATCCAATTCGAAGATTAAGGAACAACGTAATCTGCAACATTAACTGAATTAGATAATTTTAATCTTAGTTTATACCGTCTGTTATACATTAAACGCGCATGCGCACACGCATATTCACAGCCGTAAAGGTCTTACGTGCACGCGTAAACGCCTATGCGCGCAGAAAGTTTGTAGCTTTGAGGTCCGGATTATAGATCATTCCGGATTATGGGTGTCCGAATTTACGACTTTTGACTGTATATAAATTTAACCATTAAATGTGGTTTTAATACAGGTCTTCATGAGCAGATCCCAAAACCTTGCCACTCAGAGGGTGAATAACTAAAAACGAACTATACCTTTATAACTGTTGGCTGTGAGATCAACTTAGTTGGTATCCTCTGAAAACTGGCCTACATCACCTGTGCTTCGAGCCAACTCTGACTATTATTAAAAGAAATAAAATAATTTTTTAAGACTTATATTATGTATCGGCCATTCAGAAATTTTTCCTTCTTCCACATGTTCAACCACCAGGACAAAGTTTTCAATCTGAGCAAGATAAGCTGGTGACGCCTCTGTGTCTGTATCAAAACCTAAATATCTTTCATGTTCTTCCACGTTAGAAAGAATTTTTTTCCAAGATTTAATTAGCGTTGAGAATTTTATGCAGCAGCTCTTTCATAGATAGCATCCAAAATTAAAAAAAAAATTCAGAAAATATTTAAGATCACTTTTTTTCTCGATCAATTTACATAACATGGCAGAACTGTAGTTTCGTTTGACTGACGCAATAACACCTTCGTCCATTGGCTGTATTAGGGCTGTCATGTTAGGCGACAAGTACTTTACAAAAAATTGTTCATCTCTTAATTTTAACTCCAATTTTCAGTTGGGTGGGAAGGTACATTGTCTAAAACTAACACTGCTCTTTCAGGAAGGCCCTGCGAATTAAAAAAGTCTGTCACCTACAGCATGAATTTTGTATCAAACCATTGCTGAAATATGATTTTATTCATCCATCCCTTTTTTTTATTGAAATAGTTCACCGGTAAGCTAGTTGTTTCCGTGCATTTAAAAGACTGGTTTTTTTTTTAACCTTTCCAATGAGAACCAGTTTCAATTTGTGGTTCTGCCGCATTAGACCACATCCTTATTGTCGTCACATACGATTTACTTGTGACCAGAAGCTTTCTTTTATTTTTTAGACACAAGAGTTTTTGTTGGCAAGCACTTTTAAAATAACCCTGATTCATTGATATTGTACATTTGTACTGGAAGCAAATTTTCAGTCTCAATGACGTTTTTAAAATCACTGCAAAAGTCTTTTGCTGCATTCTAATCACCACTCAAAAGTTCACCATGCACTTTTAGCTCTTGAATACTATTGTGCTGTTTGAAACACATAGGCCATCCCGATAATGCACAGGATTTATCCTCAAGTCCTAACTGCTGAAAACAATATTTAGCTTTTCTGCATAAATCAGTCTATTTATTGGGTCTTCCTGTGCTCTCTGCTGACTAAACCACTCCAGCACGGTTTTATACAAGTCCTAGTAGGTTGACTTTTTCATTGTTGTCCTTTCCTTCATTCACACGGCAGAATCAGATGCACACACAAACTACATATAAGTTGATCCTTTTTCTTTAATAAATCATTCGCAGTCTACTTACCAACTCCATACTTCAAAGACACTGATTTCACACTTGATCTATTCTCTACTTACTTATTGTTTCAAGCTTCTGATAAATGGAAAGAGCAACATGCTTCTATTTTTTTCTGACATTTTGCAAGCAGTACTGATTACAATAATTTACAGCCACTATCAATGAAAAAGCAAAATCTAAGCTTTATCTTGAAGCATCTGAGCGAGTTCTAAAAATAGCAATTTAGCAAAAGTACAAAAATTATTTGGCAATCAGAACTTTTTCAATCATCGTATTGCCAAATTAAGAGGACGTCTATTATTAGCTGTAAGGAGGAGGACAAGATACAGGAAGGAATTTGTAACTGCAGTCAGGTGGTTAAAAAGCCTGAAAAGTCATTAATTAAAGTTTCATATCAATGTCTGCTGATGATTCTTGAGATATTTTTTCCACCAGAAAGCTTTTTTTTTTAAGCAGGGTCCTGGTGCATATCTTTGTTGTGGTCCAAATAAAACACGAAAGTTCATGAATTAAAGTTATAACTTAATGCAACATATTTCTTTTTGATAACACATTTTAGACATTATCCAATAATTTGAGACAAATTTTTAATGTTACATTTTTTTTTTTTTTTTTTTTTTTCAATCTGAAACTTTTAACCTTACTTTTTTCTTCAGATGCTATTGAAGCAGACAAAGAATTTAATTTGAATTAAGAAAAATCAGTATTTGCTTCTACAATAATTCTCTTTCCATTTACTTCATTTAAAATGCTTTTTCTTAAACCTTTATTTAATATAACAACAACAAATCAGGGTTTCTCAAACTGTGGGCTGCAACACTCAGCAGGGTCGCCAAAAACTTTAGCAGTTTTGATATTTCTTTAACTTATTATAATAATTTTACAATTACCAAATATTTTTACACAATGTATTTGAAAATAGATAAAGATAAGATAATACAGACAAAGCAAAAAAATGAAAACATTTTGATGCATTCTTTTTATAATATAAATGCACATTTTCCTTGCTTTGCACGTGATGCTGTTATTTCGTCTGTTACTTATTTAAAATTTCCACATTGTTCTATGTCTTAAAATTAGAAATTAAAGTTAATGACCTAAAACTGCAATAGTATACAGAACAAGTGAAAAAATTGACAGTTTCACTTACATGTGTGTCGGATTTGCACAATACTTATGGAGTTCCACAAAATTTTTAAAAATATTATGGGGTCCTGGGGGTCGCGGAAAAAATCTCAGTGATAAAAAGGGTCGTGACTGAATAAAGTTTAAGAAACACTGCCCTAGATAATAATCAAATATACAATTACAGAACAGACTGCATATAACACATATTTATTCTCATTCCTGCAATTCAGAATTTATAGTTTATTCCTTTTTCAAGCCTTAACAGCCAAAAACTTTTATGAAATTCTGCAAGACTAATGGTGCTTAAAGTAAATAACGATGCACAGCTGAAAAATATTACAATTAATGAATCACTGAAACAATTAAGAAAACGGATGCTACAATCAATAAAAATTGAATCTGAGTCATATTTACAATATAAATTCAATGATTTAGCAACCAACATATAAGAATACAAAGTAACAGAAAGTAACTACCTGTCTGGGGTTAACTAGAAGTGCACTAGAACTCCCTTTTCCTGAGCTTTTTCCTTGGTTATCAGAACTGAAAATGAATAAATTTTACTTTTTAAACATATTTTGACACAAACTAATGCATACACACTACAAAATTCAAAATCTGGATATCTATTATCTGAATCTCCAGATCTCCAGCAATTTCTTTATTAGATTTTTTTTTTCTTGTTAAAATGAGAAAATTAGATTCTGAATTTAGCATCTCACTTTGGTATATATCTAATATGCATGAATAGTAGAAATTATTTCATAATAAAACATATGAAAGGTCCTAATTCATAATATCAGTATCAGTACTAAAAAAATACAGTACCCACCACTTATTTAAATCACTTCCATTCCAAGCATATTTGAGTTTATTAAACGGCCGAGTTTAATAAATGGAGATTTCAATATTGAACTTATTTAGTAAGATAATAACTAAAATTAAATTTAATAATCTGTACCTAAATTATTAATTAAAAATTAATGCTAAAATTAAACTATTTGCAAAACATGGAAAGTTATTTCAACTGTATTTTCAAGTTCTTAAAATGTTGATCTGATTTCCACCTTTCAATTCAAGAGTTCTTAGAGTTTGCAGTTTTTCTCTATTCAGCTGTGGTTGGCATGTAATCACTTTCACTGTCAGTTTCAGTTTCTGAAGCTCTTTTAACACTTTCTGCAATAACATAGCCAGTGTTTTCACATACTATCACAATATTATCATCAGTTGTAACAAATTCTAAAAAGAAACATCTATAATTTCCCTCACTGAATGTTCAAAATATTAGAAACAGTTTTCAATTCCGCTGTGGCTTCTTCTAAATAAAAACCACATTTTCTAAAGCAATTTCTAATTGTGTTCTGAGTGACTGATTCCCATATGTTGACTGTGAAATGCTCAGTATTTAGCAAAGGTATTGATTTTGTTATTTCTTACGCTTATATTTTTACAAGATTCACTTTTGTTATCTTTTTCGAATGATACATTTTCTGTAATTACATTCGAAATCTTTTATAATATCTTGGTCTAATGGCTGAATGACAGAAGTTGTATTTGCAGAAAAAAACACTAATTTAATGTCTTTCAGAAAGGTAACAGAGGGGGGTGTGCAACATAGTTATCTATCTATTCTCTGCTCCATTTCAAAAGGAAATAACAAAAATATTGCTTGTCATCAATGAGTTCTTGTTATTACTATAAGTTAAATTCTTGACTCCTTTTAAACATCAAAGTTTAGTACTCTTTTCAATAACCACCTCCATTGTTTTAATTGTTGCATCCAAATTGCATGTTAATAACGCAATAACTCACATCACAACTTTTTTCAGCACAGTCATGGAGACTGATGATGTGGCGAAAGTAATAATTTTCATTGAGAAAAATGCCTTCAAACTGAATAAGTTCTTGCTTATATACAAAAGAACAACCTTGATGCAAAAGGAAGAGTTGGTGCAGCAGGCATATCTTGGATGCAACAAAACTATATGCCACACTGAAATGTACAGGAACTAACAAAATTCTGGGCAGACCAAAAAGAAAATAACCCTAATGAGAAGATTGATGATGGATATGAATGTATCATGTAAAAGAACAGAGAATACTTCAAGAAATCCAGTATTGCCAACACTGGAATGAGGAAAAAGAAAAAGAAGAAATGGAAAGAACTTTTACATATAAACTAATCTGTGAAGAAACTAGCAAGTGAAACAAATAAGGCTATAATATTGGAACAAGTAAAAGAAGCAACATAATCTTTTGTAGTCAGATAAAATGTAGAAAAACAAAAAGTCGAATGGATTACACTTACCAAAATTGCAAAAACATCTAGGAGTAAAAAATAAATCTAAATTTGAACATGAAAATAAATATGCTTCTCTATCTTCATCAGATGAAGAAAATCAAGAGAAGCATGCAGAATATTTGGAAGAACAAGATAATAAACAAGCAGCACAAACTGAAAAATCTCTCCCAGTTATCATTACCAATTTGAACGTTGAATGTTTGGTAATCTGAAAAAGAATAATTGAGTGTACCCATGATGACTTCAAATATGAGACCATATGTATCTATTTAGATACAATAGAAAAGTACAGAAGAGTTATCAAAATCTTAAACGAAAGAGGAATGCTTTTTCACACTTTCTTACTGCAATCCATTAGAAACCTAAGAATTTAAGAATGGTGATTAAAAATTTAAGTCCCAGTATACCAGAAGAAGAAATAAGAGGAACTGATCAATCAAAAATACCCAGAACTCAAAGTGAAGCAACTTACTAGAAGAACAAAAATCAAGAAATAACTGCACTACCAGTCTATTATGTTGAAATTTTATCTACGAAAAAAGGCAGTGGAATTTACAATTCAAATTTCTACTTAGCTTTTACATAACAATAGCAAAATTCAAACCTAGGAAACAACCAACACAGTTTTATCACTGAGAGAAGTACAGACATTAGCAACATACGTGTTTTAATCCCACCCCAAAATGTGTCAAGTATTATAAAGGACATTTCACAACTGAATGGAAGATGCAGAAAGAAGAAATACATATTCATTCTGCTTGAAACAGCTGGTAAGTTTATATAAAAAATATGAAGAGTATGAAAAAAAATCCAAGTTTATCAAAACAAATCAAACCAGAAGAAACTATCCTATCCAAGAAAATTGCAAACTATCTCAATAGAATTCCTACAACTACCATACATGCAGAAAACAGATAAAAAAGAAAATCCTAATCAGCCTTAAGGAAATTCGAAGAAAATTTATGTTGAACTTTTCCATAAATCAAATTAAGACAGAGAAGAAAAGCCAACAATTTTTGCCGCCCTTAAGAAATTACTAAATCTAGTTACAAATTTTATGACAAAGAAAAGTCCAGGGAGTAAACTTAATCTATGCCTTTAAATTTTGGACATACTAGAAGAGATGATCGCATAAACTGCATTTCCAACCATCACTCAAACAGCTTTTGATGGACTCTTACACTGAGGGTTCTATTCCTGGTAACAGATAAGTTATTTAATATTCAAAATCTATGCTTTTCTTTATCACATTAGCTCTAGCATGCGATTTTGTATTTTTAGCCTTCTCACTTTAATTGCTACTAGTTTTTCTTCATTGTTTTTATTTGATAATTTAAATTTACCTAGAAGTTCTTTCATACTCTAGCCATTTTCTGCAGTTTTGAAACTGTTTTATATTCTCTTTCTTAATAATTTTAATGCTTTTGTTAATAATTATGATTTTATTTTGAATTTAATGAAATCGATAAAAAACATTGTATTTTTCTTGCCATAAGACGGTGGCGCTCTGCACTTATTTCTCACATCCACCAAAGGCCTTGGACCATCCAATTACAGGTTAAAACCATCAGGGTTGTATGCTTGTTCCCCCATAAACTAATATCATAATGATCAATGATAATAACTTGTTCTTTTAATTTCTTAAACCCAGCTGCTGTTAACATTTAAACAATAATGTATGCTTCAGTAATGCTCTATAAAAACATAGCAGTTTCATCTGTTTTTTCAATTTTATGCAGCTTTTATTCTTTTAGAAGCCCAAATATAACTTCCTTTATCCATTTTTCAGCTGAATGATGATCTGCCACTTCCTCCTCACAGCATAGTTTCTGATAATGTTGTTTCTCTTTTTCCATCATGTCAGCCATCCATCAATTCGCACAAAATTTTCTTAAAATTTAGCATTTTAATGTATTCTATAGATTTTGTGTTAAAAAGTGTTCTAGAAATTATTTAGTTATAGCTTGGAACACTTTTTTAGTCACAGCTTGAAACCATTCTAAAAGAGCGGTTTCAATATGTCTCAATTTTCCATTCCTTGAATATTTGCAATTTTTATAGTTCTTTATCAATTTTATTTCTTTGTTTAACCAAATTTAAGTAAAGTTTTTTTTAAAGTAAAGCTCCTGCTCAATGTTATTAGGAAATCCACATTTTAGAAGCTGCTTCTCTTTGGCTGCATAAAAATGTCATAATCTTTCAGCAATTTATACTTTTCTTTCAGGCTTTAATCATTTCACTTAAAAATTTTCGACATGTTATAAGTCATGAACACAGCAAATAAAAAAGGTGTGTCTTCTAGTGATTTGTTTAAATCCAAAATTTCTGTTTCTAGCCAGTAAGAAAACCGCACTTTGTCTGTCAAGTTGACATGCCACTTCATGGTTATTATAGGCATAATCGATGCTTTCTTTTCTTTTTTTCTTTACAACAACCACTTCCCTTTTCCAATCAAAGACTGATAATGTACGATAATGCATACATTATCAGTCTTTGATTGGAAGGAAGCATTTCCTGATATTTTCTCAGAACACTCAGCAAACTTAATGTGTGCATGCACATCCATCCCCTATCAACTTATGCTTGAGAAAGGAAATCAACATTTACCTAAGCATCACCTGTTCTTTTAATCCTGGGAAATATTCACTTATAATCAAAGAAGTTTTTTCCCAGTGCTTCTAGAGATCTGCTTTTGTTAATCACAAGATAAAGGTATTCTGTCACTCTCAGCTCTAGTCTGAACAAAAAGACTTGTGAACAGTCCTGACAGGAACTAAGAAAGTGTGCCCAATACCCCAAGGAATCTTGATTCTAACTACACTGCTGGAATTTCTGATAAACTAATTTTATTAAAGCACTACATGAGCTAAATGAATGAGCTAGAAACAAATTTCATCAGCCACAAACAGTTTATTCTAGATCTGAATAAGACTTTTGCCAGTTTATGTTTCATAAATAGTGGAGATGAACTTAATAATTGGTGCTTTTTTATTGATTAGTACAGTCAAAAGTCGTTAATTCGGATACCCATAATCCAGAATGATCTATAATCCACACCTCAAAGCTACAAACTTTCTGCTCATGCGTTGCGTTTACGCGTGCGCATAAGACCTTTACGGCTGCGAATATGTGTGTGCGCATGTGCATAATACATTTATGCATGTTTAATGTATAACGGACAGTATAAGCTAAAATTATCTAATTCAGTTAATGTTGCAGATTGCGTTGTTCCTTAATCTTT